TTGATTTGGAAGGACTTCTTTGAGTGACGTTGCTGGACTTTTTGAAGGGCTCTTGGTTGGACTTTTTGAAGGGTTCTTGGCTGCAGGTTTTTCTGGAGTCTTGTCTGCTTTCTTAAAATGTCCAAGGAAGTTTGTACAGATGTTCTCCAGGGAGATGAGTGACGCGGTGAACTTGTTTGCTGGTGTGGCGTGGCGTTGCATCAGATCAAACATTGTAAAGTCAAAACTTGCATCATAAAGTTGAAACAGGTTGTCAATATATAAACCTTGTAAGTGCAAAACTTAAGTCGAAACGTTGTAAGTTGAGGAGTGCCTGTATGTATATGCACTACTGGAGAGGGAAAGAATGTGCTCCTTAGAAAGCGAGCAGTTTATGTGGTCAGAGGGAGACCGTTCATAATAGTGGGAGATTTCAATTGTATAATCAAAGTAGGTGACAGAACAGAGGAAGGAGGAAATGGAGCTTTAGACAGCTCATCCAGACTGTTAACAAATATAATAAAAGAAGAGTCCTAAGAGATATGTAGGCAGGGGAGAAAGTTTTTACTAGAACAGCTCCCAGTGGAAAGAAACCATCAAGAATTGACTGTGTGTTTTGTATCAAAAGAAATAGGGGTAAGGAAGGAAGAAAACATACATGTGGGTTTTAGTGAGCGCTGGACGCTGAAGGTGGAAATGAGTCCCTTCCCTCTTCCCCACAAGAGGGAAGGGACTGTGGAAGTTATATGTGTGGCTGTTACAAGGTGAATAGATATGTCAGGTACGCACAAGATGCTTGAGGGGTGGTGAGCACTTCAGAAATATTTCGAAAGTACCAGAGGATGGTAGATGATGGTAAGACAAGGGTGCCCCCTATCCCCACTATTATTTTTGTCTGGCATGGAACCGTTAACACAAAGAATAAGAAAAGACAAGGGTGTAAGTGGAGTAAAGATACTGGGAGGGGGAGAGGTAAAATGAGTACTACATGTAGATGATATATACAAGGATGCTGGAGGTAGCACCAGCACTACCTATGGAAAATCCTTGGCCCAGATAAAATGCCAAACTTCACAGCTCACTGTTTTTCAGGGGCACCAAAATGCACGTGTCAGATGATACTGCATTTATTCATGTATCACATGCAGTCTTTTTGAAAATTAGCCATCCAAAATTGGTGTGTATGCCTTAAGCAAGGAAACTGATTTCTATGGCAGATTGGATGCAGATGCTGGGATGGTAGCTGGGGGCTCTGTTTGGTACCAGCTAACTCGGGGCTAAACTATCCAGCTTGATGGCATAGAGGCAGAGTTGTCATCAGCATCGCTTCCCTTTACACTTCCGCCTGCTGCAGGGCCAGTGGCTACAGTTTAACCCTCCGGGCTGAGCAGTAAGTGGAGGGGGAGTGATGCTAATGAAGTGACTCTATCCCTGCTCCAGGCAAGTGAAGCTTTTACCCTAGGTGAGCTGGTTCCATGGCAGCTGAAAAAAGACTGAAAAAATCTGAGGTTTTTCCCTTCATTTTGCCTTCCCAAAACAAGGTGAAAGTCTTATTCACCTGCCGCATGCCCCTGAATAAATACAGTATTTTCTTTTAATAAAAATGGGCAAAGATGTTTAGGAGTTGCTTTGCCTTTTCTGGGAGGAAAGAATTTTTGTTGGTGGGGAGGTTGTGATAAATAGCAGGATACCTTTGCTTATAGACGAGGGCTTTTTACCTGAAAATTGAAACAAATTTTCAATGCAAGTATAAATTCAAGAGAAATGAAAAACCTAGTTTAAATACATTAATCTGTTTTAAGTACACAGTTCCCTAATACTTGAGGGTTCTTGGTAATATCCATCACTGTTAACCTCTAAGCATCATACCATATACCAGGGGTTGTCAGCTGGGGGTATGCATACCCCTGGGGGTACTTAAGAAGGCCCAAGGGGATACACGCTGGTGGGCGGGGATGGAGTACTGCCACACACCATCCCACGCTGCTGTGCAGGTGCTGCCTGCCCGGCTGGACATGAGGGGCGGAGGAAGCTTGCACACAGCGGCTGTCGCCACTCCGCATTCAGCCACATGCAACCCCCTCCTCCCCTCCCCACCCGTGTCCAGCCACTGGAGGTACACTGATCCAAAAACGTTGGAAACCCCTGCCATATACATTTTATAGGTGCTGAAATAGTGTCTTTCCTTAGCCAAGTTTTATTGCTATTGGGATCAGGATTTAGACTGTGCAATTCAAAAATGAATAGTTCAGACTTGTCATAGAGTAATTACTAAGGCCAAATGAAATATGCACGCATGTGCCCTCTCCCCCTCCCTCTTGTTTTGATTCTGAATCTTTGAATTCTGAGATTAAGCATGTTGCTGGAGGAAGTAGTACAGGTTTCCCTTGCTTTATGCGGGTTCTGTATGTGCGAATTCGTTCTTATGCGATGACCCTTTTTATACCGAAAATTCGTTATATGTGGGGTAAATTCACTCTGATGCGATTGGTGTGTGGAAGCCTGAGTGCTTTGCTCCCTGCTGCAGCTGCACTATGCCCCCTGCCTGCCCAACGGCAGGACACACATGGCATCGCGCGGCTCTTGGGGTAGTGGAGCTCAAAAGTGCAGTGCGCAGTGGCTACTGCCTCCGGCCCACACACAGATCAGGGGACACGTACCCCCTGGGCCTCTGCTTGTCCCACGACTCGGGCCAGCCAGAGCCCCACTCATCCCAGCCCCTGCCTGTGCCCCACTCCCTCCCTCACCGCTGGGGCCTTGATCTTTCCTCCCCTAGCCCTCCCCAGGGTATGGAATGTATCCCTACTTGTTACATTGTAAAGTGAGTTCCCTTTATGCCAATTCAAGTTATGTGCTGTTTTCCAGGAACACAAATACAGCATAAAGCAATGGGAAACCTGTACCTTATTTTTGTCCTTACTCCTGACTTCAACAAGGAGAAGAAGTTACTTTTGGATTGTCTTTGCAGTGGTTATTGCTGGACAGAATACAGGTGCATAGTTGCAAGAAAAAGGTTTTGGTCAAAGTAGGTGAATGAGGACAGCATGGGCAAGGCTGAACCATGTGACTTAGTGGAAGGTGATGCTCTAATGAGAGGATTAGCTGCTTATTTCTGGTTGTCTGTAGGCAGTGAAGCTAAGCACCAGTTGCTGGCACAGGAGAGCTGTCAATCAAACCACAGTAACCTCTGTCTCACCTCTGTTAACTTTCCCCAGCAATCTCTGTGTGGCTCATATACATTATATTTTGCACTCATGTTAATATTTCAGCTTGGGGCTGGAGATGTAGGGAAAAGTACAATAAATCAGGATCTTTTCATTTTATAGCTTTTTCTTCTTGTATGTTGTTTCCACACAGGAGGTTCCACTTTACAGTTTAGCCTACTTAAGTTAAGCCAGCTGACTCAAATAGTAGAAAGCAAAGCAGCAAAGTATTTCTTATCCATGCTTTATTGATAAGTTTCCCTTTTTAGCTTCTGGTACTTCCTTTGTATTGCCTGTTTACTGGACCTCTTCTTCCTCATCCTGAACAGCCAATGGATATCCTCAAACTCTGGCTATAGGTCTTGATCAATCATAGCTTTGTTGTAGCTTCCACACCATGTGCTTTTACAGTGGCATGTATAAATACAGAGGATCGTGATTCAAGCTATGTGAAATGTTATGAGAACTTATGTTCTGTACTGATTTTTTTTTTTTTAAACTTGGAATTCATTTTTTTTTTTTTTTTTTA